CTGCCACGATGAGTCATCAACGAAGTCAAAGTGTTTCGCTGGTCCTGAGACAAATCTGCAAGGGACAGCATGAGTAGGGCAATGAGATTCTCTCCTAAAGGAAAATCATTCTGATGAAGAATTCTCATATTGCCATTGACATTCTGCATGATTTCCTGAATCCTTTCTGCCGTTGGTGCTACTCCAGTCAACGCTGCATCTGCCTGCATCTGAGCAAGGACTTGGGGATGTGCTTGAGTGACTGGTTCTAACATGTCCATCCAACTGCTCATAAGCCTTTGGAGTAAAATCTGGAATCTTGTCATCCATTTCATCATGTCGGCTGATCCTCGATTGAATCGCACGAATTGCATGAACCTGTATAGGAATACATTGGTTGATCCTTTCACGAAATATGGTCGTAGTACTCGTTTGAAGTAATCTACTCCTGCTCCTGGTGGCTCATTAGCCTTCAATGAATCTCTGTCTAATATACGTTTGTATACTGCTGCTTCTCCTTCTAATCTGTTTCTCAAAGCTGGTCCTCTCTTCTCATCTTCCAGCTCGGTGATATCACACCAATCGTCTATGGCATCCTCATAGGAAAACCATGAAGTCTTTCCATCATAAGATGGGGGCACCTTTGTAGTGACCTGTGTTGTCATTGCTATTGCTGCTGGTTCTCTTCTCACATGCCTATTCACGTAGGCTGCTGGCTCATAAGCCACATCCGCATCAGGCTCTTCCCAGTCGTCAATCCAATCCATGGCCGTTTGCCCACAAGCAATTCTATGCCTAGGAAAGGAGCTCACCTGGGTCTTCCAGGATCACTGCTCCGCTACCACTGAAAGAGTGACTAGGGCGTACACGGTAGAGGTGCAGACCGCTAGTGTCTTTTATGCGCAGAGTCTTATCCTCTTGCTCTTTAGGTCCATTGACCCTCTCTTGAGCCTTGAAGCAGTCAAGCATGGACACACTATATCAGCTGTTGGAGTGGAACCCTGTACAGGTAGGCTCTACTTTTCAGGGGGGGAGGGGGGGGGGGGGGGGGGGCTTCGGCCTGAAAGATCAGGGGTTAGGATTTGCACCCGATCGAAAGAAACCTTGCTATCGCAAGAGTAACTCCAGCTAGCTTCGCTAGCTTTCGTGATGAGTTGCTTGGACTCGGCCCCGTTTCCGGCAAGTCACGTGGTTCCCGTGACGTCGGTGCCCTTCCCTCGGACGGGTCGCCCCTTCTGAGAAGCTCGCCAGCCCAGGCTGCAGAAGCACAAGCTACGAGTGTCATCATCCCAATTGAGCCTCAATTGCTCAAGTCAAACAAACAGTTCGTTGACCAGAAAGTTGAAAGGCACAGACAAGAACACCAGAACGCGCGTTTCTAAAGCGTTGCAAAGTGGTCATCATGATCAGATCAACTGGGGTGCGCTGGGCTTCGTTTGAAGGGTTGATGTGCCAAGAGGTTGAACACAGACCCCAGATGCTCCTCCATGTATGCAGTATATACCTACATTGACCCCTGAAACCACCCCAATGCATAAATATGCTGTACATGGATATACATGGAGCTTGGGATGGTTTGGGAAGGGAAAAGCGATTGGTGTTGCTTTCCCTAGGGCTCCAAGTGCCTCCTCAGAAGGTGTTTGGACCCTCTAAACCCACCCCAATCTCACCTTCTTAGAAGGTACGACTGGACCCTAGGGTTTCACTATCTACACGGTTCGAAGCACCGCAGTGACCGCTGCCGTGTCCTCAGGAGCTTGGGCGAGGATGGAGAAACACCTGGCTCAAAGATTCGGAGCATGACCGGAGAAGCCCGGAGTGTCGAAGCCCGAGCGTCCCGGGGTCGGTGGCATCCAACCTGGTCGCCCTTTTTGGGGGGATGGGTTTTCCCCACTCAACTCGAACAGCCCTATAGGGATCCAGTCGTACCTTCTCAGAAGGTACTTGGACCCTCCTGGCACCCACATAACAGTCTCTCCAATCACCTGAGGTTCGGTACGACTGGATCCCTAGGGGCTGGACAGTTGGATTTTCGGATCGATTTTCGGAACGGTTTTAGGTCCGTCAGGTCGTCCAGTCGACTCTTTGTGGGCAGGTCTTTCCAGTCCGGTCGCACCGTGGGCCCCCGACCAGAAGAGGACAAACAAAAACATTGAAAAGAAGAACGTGGCACGTTTTGAGTGGCTCCTTTGATGGATTTTTCACCCTAAAAAACAACTCGACTGGGTGAAAACGCCGTCGGTGGGAGGTTTCTACACATTTCTACGTATATACTCATATATGCGGTCTAGAAATGTCTAAAATGTATTGATCGTCAGATGTAGTCATCCCGCATAAAGATCAAAACATGTCAAAACAAATTCATTTTCCAACCATCAGCTCGTCATAAACTCTGTTCAATCACTTCGTGCATTGGCAACGCAACGGCATTGGTTCAGAGACCTTGTCGTCCAGCATGGTCCAGACACAAACATTTGCTCAACAAGACACTGGAACGCAGAAGTGGGTTGAAACTCAAATGAGATGGATCCTGAATGCAAGAGCTTGTCATCTACAACTGTGCCTCCCTAATATTCCCTAATTACAGATCATCGAGGTGCAACTCGACAAGCACTCATGGATACCTTTGGTTCATCAGCGACGATGAATGTCAAAGCATCGGGGCCAAAGAAATTGTTTAGACAAGCAAGAGTCCGACGCCCTGGACAAAGGGGGAACAGACTCAAACCCATTGGTTGGCTAGTTCGTTGGTTGAATCCGGCGTCCAATTATAGCAGGTCGACCCTCGTGTTCCAGCACTTCTCCGAATGTAGCACTTCTCCACCGGGCTCCGAAAATCATCGGTCGCGTCGTGGCATTGTGCTGCTGGACGCCGAGGAAAGCAGTGAGGCCTTGTCTGCTGCGGAAAGTGGGGCCTCGGAAGACCGACCCGGGCTTTATGCCATACCAAGTGTGGACAAGATGACGAGGACGCCTTCCACCTCCAGGAAAAGCAGGTTCCTTTTTACCAGCGGCCGTAATATTAGCCCCTTGGGAAGATCAGATGCCAAAAAGGTTGATATTTGTGGATGGAGGGGCCAAAAAAGATCACTGGAAGACCTGACACTATTGACCGTTTGGAAGGTGAAGGCCATTGGAACAATCAAGCACTTTAACTTGAGTCCCCCAAAGGATGCCCTGGTCCGTATGGTATCTCTGCTCTTAGCATTTTTGATCAGACTTGCGCGATCATTTCAGCCACCCCTACTCTCTTCATCTCGCCAAGGCTCGCGAGATGAGGACAGTGAGGAGTCAGAGGGATCCAAACGGCGCTGTGCCAAGTTGTTGGCGAATCCCAAGTTCGAGGCGCCAACAACGGAGCGCCCGCTGGCTGTTTTTGGAGAGTGCCGGGCAAGGATCAGGATCCACCGGGCGGCCATGCTCTACATTACCAATTCAACATCCAATAACATCCAATAACTACCAACCACACTGTACACTTAACATCACTTAACCTTAACTATGTGGAGGGGTCGTGGGTTTGGGGGGGCCGGGTCGGTGTTGCGCAAAGGTCGACACTTGGTAAAAATGATCAAAGGGGTGCTCAGTGGAAGCACAGAAGTCGTGTGGCCACAGTGCATTGGTGACTTTTTGGATGGTACCGGTAAGTAGGTGTGCATAGTCTTTGCTATGACTGTTGTTTCCGAAGTTGTTTGTTGCTATCATTTGAGCATGCGTTTGCTCCACTGGATGGTGTTGTTATGTACCCTCCGCTGAGTGGAATTAATCGAGGGGGGGCTCTACTCAATTATGTTTTCTCAATTAATAAAATCTTCCTCCGAGAATGTCGTAGAAATTCATGTTGGAGAAGATGTTGGATAAAGACAATTAATCGGGACTTTCCCCGGCATTCCCCGGCTGTGCCTTGGATCAAGCTAGGGAAAGGTCCGTTGAAAAACAATCAGACCCCTCAATTAATATTCTCTTCCCTCATATTTTCTCAAAAAATGCACTGCGCCGAAATCCCCTCTAGTCAAATCCACTATTGCTTTGCCTTGGGCAGAGTCTTTCAGCGTGCCTCACATATCACATCGTATCACGTTGGCATGGCTGCTTGGCGAACCAGCGTTTCGTGCGTATTTGTTTTCGTATGTTTTCGCGTGTCGATTGAAAGTTAATTGAGAGGTTGCCTAGGGGCTGTTTGTTTAGGGGGGGGCCCAAGAAAAGCCTATAGAAAATTAATCGAGGGCCTACCTAGGGTCGATTAATATTCATCAAAACTGTACTGGCCCCCCTCAATCAATTTTGTTTATTAATTGAGGGGAGGCCCACCAGGGCCCCCTCTAACACGGGGGCATGTTTTGTTAGGAAAGGACGAGCCTATACTGTGCCCAGGGCCATTCCCCTGAACCAATTCTACAGGGTTTTGCAGCTTTGTGTTTCTTATGCAGCAGGTGTTCCATTATGGTCCTACAAAGTCCTACATAAATTCTACTTGTTAAATGCAGTTCTTTGCCGGTTTCATGATTATTTTACATTGTTGTCTTGTTCTTTTACAGTTTTTTTCTCCTATAATCCGTTATTGCGTCCTATTTGTGTTCTTCTTCCGGAACTTCTTTGCCTTCATTACCGTCCTTTGTCCCATGCAACTCTTTGTGGTCCTTCTAGGGGAACCACTTATAACTTATATGACCATTCATACATTTCTCGTAAATTATTACCTAACTCCTTTGATAATATATGGTCCTCCAAGTGGTCCTCCACTTCAGCATTTCCCTTGCTCCTTACCAGGACCACTATCTGGCTCAATTGCCAAGACTGAACCCTCCATACAAGGCCCTGGCTAGACATCATTTGGTGACTCCCCACACCCCTGTTCCATCATTTCTTCATCATGACCACCTGAAGTGAACAAGCTTTGCCCCACCGGCCGTTGGTCACAGCGCTTTGACCTGGAACACACTTGTTGCGCCTCAACGCAGGGTACTCGACTCAACGTGGGGTTCACGTCCTCGGTTCGGTCGGAGGCGGCGATTTGCCTGATGATTTTCGCCAACGCGGTGGTCTTTGCCTTGGAGTCGCAGTGGCTTGGCAAAGGGCACGAAAAGCGTTTTCAGGGCTGCGGAGAAGAACGAAACCGAAGGATTCTTGCTGATGGCATTTGATGGCCCAATGGCATTTGATGGCCCACTGTGTAGATAATCAGCTGTGATACGATCGTGCACACAATTGAAAGAGCAGCGGCCAGTCGTGTTGCATTGTCTCCAGGAACACAGGCATGGAGTTTGGCTACAGCGTCTTCGGCGGAGATTTACCTGGGCTTTTTTGGACAGGTGGGGACACCTTCTTTAATGTCTTGGAGATGTTCTTTGGCGTCGTCTTCACACTGGAGGTGGTGCTCAGGCTCTATGCGTCTCGGCCTCGTTGGCGTTGCTTCTAAAAACACATGTCGAACAAGCGAGTTAAATCATGTTGAACATGTTTGACCAAAGTACCAAAGTACCAAAACTGCACAGGCCTATGTCCCCAGAGTGGCTGAGGTCAGGCCATGGGGTTTGTGCAGTTTGGGTATGTTTGGTTTTCGAGAGAGAACCAAACGTACCAAAGTACCAAAACTGCAGACCTCATGACCTGGAGAACCAAGGCGCCAAAGTAGCAGACCCCATGACCGGGGGAACCAAAGTACCAAAGTACCAAAATTGCACAGGCCTATGTCAGGTCAGGCCATGGGGTTTGTGCAGTTTTGGTACTTTGGTACTTTGGTAGTCGAGATCATTTAAAAGCAGGCGGTTCTTTGGGGGGCTAGCATAATTACTATATATATAATATATATCATATATCTTTTTAAATATTCGCCATTTCGCAGCAGCCAACCAGCAGCCAACAGATGCAAGCTTTGGCAGAAAAAAACGCAAAAAACCTTCTCGTCCCAGGTCCGGAGGTGTCACTTCTTTTGTGGCATGTGGAATTGGTTGGACTTCTTGATCGTGCCTAGGACCAAGTGTGATGGAAGGGACTGGGGTTGGGGTCGGATCGAGGCTGGAGCACGGGAGTGGTTGAGGCATCAGATTCCGAGTACACCATGTTGAACCACTTGTTAGTTGTCTTTTTTGACAGTGACATTCCTTGGAGGAAAAGACGGGCTATGAGATGGACTGTTTGCCTCTGATTGTGTCTTTCTTGTCGGCACCCTTCAGAGAACTGCTTTGCATTGCATTGCTGGTATGGTCACCGATACGGTTGGCAAACTCCCCCAGATGTAGTTGACTTGTATTTTTGTCTTGCAGGATGACCGATCTGGCTTGCATGTTTGCAGGTAGGTGGGTTGATGTGGGTTGTATTGTATGTGGTTGTATTGGCAAATGAATCATGCGCCGCGTGCGGCGGGGTTGCCAACCGTATGACTTTGTGACTGTGTGCCTGGTGCACACCTGGTCCACATCATCTTGAGTCGTTCTTCCCACCAATCTGACCAATCTTGCAAAACGGTTCCAATTCTTTCCATTTTTTTGTCGATTCTGCGAGCTTGGCAAATCTCCAGCCACGCGATGTTTCCACACTGGGTGAAGCATATCCCATATACTCCATGGGACTGGAATATATGCCGCCCCATTGGCCCCCAGAACAACAACCCCAACTGGTCGGCAATGGCAGTCCCAGAAACGGTGTGTTTGGGTTTGTTTGCAGATCTGTACCACCTAAGTGGGCCGTCGGCCATGGGTTCCTCCTGGTTTGGCCATTTGGCCCCCACCAAGCTGGCCACACGCAACACCGCATCCACCGGCACTGAGGTCTTGGTGTGGTTCATCAGCAAGATCGCCGAAGACGCCATGCCCGTGAACTCCCAGGTCTTACGCTTGGCCCGGCTCATCCGATGCTCGGCGGAGATTGAGCCTTCTGCTCCGTCGGTGGAGCCATTGGGGTTGAACTCAAAGTTGAAGTCTGTACCAGCACTCTCCTGGCCAGGCTGTTAGTTGAGGGTTGTTGGACCCTGTCTCAGGTCTCAATTGGTGACCTGTCGGAGGGTCCTGGTTTTTCGGTCTTAGTTTTGAAGAGCTTACAAGGATTCACAAGGCTACATGGACAGCGCCCTGAGCCATTGGTCGCTTTTCGCGGCCAGCTTGTTGAGCGCACCCAGCTTGTTGAAGATTGAGCCGTAAAGCATGGTCAAGCAAAATCTCCTGTTAGGTGGACTGACTAAGCTACTACCAAGTGGGAACCAAGACATTCCCGTTGGGAGCTTGAGCAAAGAGCTCGTAGGCATTTGATTTTTGATTACATTCGCCTATTCCTGTGCAACTCTCAAGGTGACGAGACTATACTAATTGCTGGGACGCGACTACATGGTGGTCCTGTGGTCCTCCATTTGTGCTTGAAGTTGCATCCCACCAAGAACACTGAGTGGGAGGCTTTCCTATCCAGTCAGTCAGTGGATAACCCTGGATCGCCGTGAACCCTTTTGGGAAGGTAACCCTTGATTTTTTGTTGCAGGAAAACAATTCAGCTTGAATGTCTTGTTCACCCTCAATGTTTCTTCAGGCTCGCTGAGTTCCTGCTTAGTCTTGCCACAGGACCCAGCCCAGGTAGGGTAAGATGACTTCCATCGGGGGTCACCCCAACGACCAGCACCATCCTGCACTACTTGTAGGTGTTATTTTAGATGAGGCATGAGGCATGACAAAACATATTGTTTTGGGCATTTTTGGGCTGAAGCTTTGGATGTTGGTATTTTTTCTTTCGAACATCGTCGTCGCTCTGAGATGAATCAGTGAAGGCAAGAACTTTTGGAAACAACGCCGAAAGGACAACTTCGCGATGATGAGACATTTGCCTGGTTCATCTATCCTTATGAACAGTAGCCAACTTCTATTAGAGTGACCCCAGGATAGGGCCGACAAGTATTTGTTGGTACCATTTGGAATTTGGAGAGCTGTCTTTAATTGGCGATTTTCTAAGAACCGACGATCTCCGCATCCTCCCGGAGCTGCATTGGCCTCCGCATGGCGACTGCCTCCGCCCAGGACTCTTTCGGCTTCTTCGCTTGGTCCGGCGCATCCAGCAGTTCGACAGTCGCCCGGACGGACGGACGTCCTTCGCAGTTCACGAAAACTCGTCGTCGGTCATTGCGAGTGGTGGGATCCAAGGAGGAGGGTTTTGGACAAAATATCATCCCGCGTGAACACGGTGAAAGAAATCATAGCCGGCCTGTCAGCTGTTTTGCTTTTCTTGTTTTTTGGTCTTTTGTTTCTTCCATGCTTGCAAGAGCGTTTGTAAGACTTGAGGACGTTGTTGCTAGCAGGGGGGCGCCATCCCACAAGATGCGGTCCCTTTGGGATGGTCCCTTTGACCGTTTTCGACGCCTGGACGTCTATCTGCAGATGTATCGGTCGACCTCAAAGCCATCCGAATGGGAAGTGGGTCGGAGCTGAGCCCACCCCATCGGTCAGGAGCGAATGTCCCAGGTCTTGGGCTCTACGTGTTTGACGCGGAAGCCGGCGGTTCCCCCGTCCACGGACCGACGGAATGCCGGACCCAAGGGTCCAGGACCATCCTGAGGATACCCTTTGACCCCCCACGACCATTCTCTGGAAGTACTTTCAGCTCCAAGACCATCCTCAGGAGGTACCTGGACCCTATGGGATATATGAATCCATATCTGATGTGTCTAGTCATGTGTTCTATATATCTATATATCAATCTGATGGAGTCTGTACGCTAAAGAGACCAGCCTCGCAATTGTTGGTGTTTTTCCAAACCGGGGGTCTCCATTACGACCGGACTCATGAGCTACGGCGTTTCCCTCACCTTGTTGGTGTGCAGCGAACGCCCGCTGTGCAATCCCGCTGTGCATCGGAGATGTCGACTTCGGATGGCCGGCTGTCGATGTCGATGTGCTGCAGCAGACCCCAACCACACCCAAACAAACAAAAAGACAACATTCCCATACATTCCCACCGTGTCCGTCAGTTCAGGCTCACCTGGCAGGAAAATCCACCAGACATGACAAATCCACCCACCAAGTACAAAAACAAGATGCGTGTAACTGCCAATGTGGGACGATGGATCAACAATCCATGAGGTCTCTATTTGATGTCCACAGCGATCCGGAGTAGCTTTGGAATTTTGGGCTGGACTGCTGCCTTGCTCTTCATCATCCAGATGCTTTTTGCGCCTTTGATGCAGTTGCTGCAGTTGAGCTTCCGGCCAGTCTGACTCAGTCACCCTAAGTACCTCGAATGGGCCGTCAGCATGAAGAGAATAAATCATGGCCTTACAGACCTTTCACTGACGGGATGACCTGCTGGTTTTGTCATCTGAAGGAAACCCAATCACCACTACGGCAGCTTCTTCAGCTCAGCCGGTTCTTCTAGCTCAGCGCCGGTTCTTCCAGCTGTGTGAGGGTGTTTGGTCCATACAAAGCACTCCGAAGAGTCCTACTCGGGTGGGCACGAAAGACCACTGACTCGGTGACCGTCGACCAGGAGAGTTCACACTGAAAAAACACACCGCGCTGAGTTCAAATCCAGACACATCGGACCCCTGAAACCACCCCAATGTAGTTAAATAGAAGTGTTTGGGAATGGTTGGTGGCTTTTTGTTGGTGCAGGCATCTTTAAACAGAGGGCATGTATCGATCTTTACTCGATTGCCGGCAATCAACAATTGAACACCATGGTCGACTCCTGCCTGTTGAGCTCCAAGATTCAGATGTCGCACGATTTTGCAAAGATATCAGCTGTATTCAGCTGTGAGAGATCAGTTAACTGTGCAGCTTGTTGAGTTAGTGTCGCCGTTCGAGGCCTTGGTCTTGAACCAAATCCTCTACGGTTTTTACTTCTCCGCAGCTTGGCCAGCTAGCTTCCAGCCCCCAGGGCTGGGCAGGTCAGACGTCGACATGGACGTGTGGACACGTGGACACGCTGGGCAGAAGACCGTTTCGATTTGGATTGGGAGGCAAACAGCAAAGAAAACAAGCATCCTTGCTGGGGCGTCGCGTTTGGGGCGTTTTTTTGGGGCGGATGGATGACCAAGCAACATGGACCACACCTGGGCGCCGTAGCATGTCATGTTCCAGCGTTGTTCTTGTCGAAGGGGTTTTCGAAAAGAAAAAACACAAAAGAATCTGTGGTCAGCAACCGAGATATGTCGGTCACGGAGGCCAACAGATGTTGGTCATTTTTCTCTACCTCGAAGGGGTTTCCATCTCCGACATCTCTCAGGCAGAGATTGCAACCTCAGGGAATGAAGAGTTGAAAGACCGCTTCGAGCTGGCCACTTGACCCGACGGTGGTGCGTGCAGCGTTTCATACCGCTGCACCCACAGCTGTAGCCGTCCAATCCCGTCGTTGGAAGGCCTGGGGCCCGGGCCAAAGGGCGGCTTTGAGACCATCTAAAGAATAGCTCACCATCATCTGAAGCCAACATATACATGCATCGGCATCGGCCTGTGCAAAAATGATCAAACATGCGCAACATGTTTGCCCGACTTGGGCTGGTTTTCCAATGTTTTCCAAGATGAACAAGCAGACAAATCCAGGTATAACATCACCCTGGATGGTGAAGTTGGACTTGAAAACGGTTGGGGAGAGGGATTAATGTCACTTGGACCTGGTTGCCTTCACAGATCAGGTTCGATACGCTTGACATTGACCTAGCGTTTGTTACCAAAGTCTAATAGTACTAAAGTCGGTCCCTAGCAAAACCACCTTATAAAGGCCAACAGATCATACAATGGTTGTTGGATGTTGTTGGGATCCAAGGGTGGAGACGGTGGAGATAGATGATTGGCTTAGAACTGGCCCTCCCCAAGAGTTCAGTGCCACTTTCGGGGAACTGGCACAGTTCTGGTCACTTTGGAAATGCAGTCGTGCCGACGAGTCGAACGAGTCACAGCGCATGAAGCGAACCGTCCATGAAGCGAAACAAGGAGCCACGTGCCTGGACCCCCAATGGTGGTAGTTGATGGACCCCCTTGACCCCTAAGGGGCCATTAACGGACACCCTTCTGTGGCGCTGGTGAAGGATGTTCTTTTCCGAACCTGTGTTTGTACGCACACGAAGATCAAACATCAGAAACTCAGAGAAAGCGGCAAGAGTCCACATACACACAATGTGGACATCCAAGGTCTACACCTACTTTGGGACTTTCTCTCGTGCTCTTTTGACCATGTTTGAAATCACTTTGGCCAACTGGCCACCCGCTCCTCGGATGACCGGCCACGGCGGGAATTCGACGATGAACACGAAAAAGAAAGCGGACCATAAAAGCGGGATCACTCCTTTCTGGGACATTCGATATCAGCCTGTTTTGGGATGGTGAGATCTATTTTCCCCGATCCTTCCAGGGTCTTGATCTCAAGCATCCTTGCCTCCCAAGTTAACTGCGCGCCAAGCTCCGGATGCACACCTGCTAGGCCAGATGAGGTGGATGGAACCAAAAAGCCCTTGGAAAACCCTTCTGCCACTGCCCTGGCATTGAAATACTGGAAGCAAGTCCAAAACGCTTGAAATGCTCCAATCCTTTTGTGATCTAGACTCTCAACCTGTTCTGGCAAACCTTTCCCCGTCGTCACCAGGATCCATTGCTTCTTTCCAATGTTGATTCACGCCTTAAATTGCAAGGCTCACGTTCGTGTTGTTGTTGTTGTTGTTGTTGCTGTTGCTGTTGCTGTTGCTGTTGCTGTTGCTGTTGCTGTTGTTGTTGTTGTTGTTGTTGTTGTTGTTGTTGTTGTTGTTGTTG